AAACTGTCACTTCTCTCGATTTTTGCCGAAAAAAAACCGAGGGAACAAAAAAAAAACCGCACGGAAAGAAGAAAGCCACCGACCGACCGATCGGCCGACCAGTTTGCAATAGGCCGAAGTATCGGAACCCAATTCCAACAGCCGATTGGATGTCGAATGCAGTCGATTTTCCTTCCAGCTGTAAATCGAGATTAGCGACGACGCGCGGTAGGTCGTGCATGCGCGCGCTCGAGAACGAGCGAATGAATGAATAGAAGTACCTCTATCTGGCGGAGATGGAAAAGAGGGGCGGAAAGAGGCGAGAAGGGGAGTGAGTCCGGGGTCTCGGGTTTCGCCCTTCGAGGACTTCTTTCTCTGTCCTTCTCTTTTCTCTCCTTCCGTCTCTTTTGACCTCTCGGTAGTCATCCAGACTACCCGGCTCGTTTCTTAACTTACCTAGCTCGGGTGTCGCGTAAGCCCGATCTAACGAGGACCAGACTCTCGGAGAGAGTCTGAAGCGCGTCATTATACAAAGGCTGTGATTCGTCGACTCTTTACAGAGAAGGAAAGGAGAATCACCCTAATAATGAGTTCCTTTATTGCGTTAGAAGTGACCGCGAAACTACCGATGCGTATCTCAATGAAAACGCATTCGTGTCATTTGGCGACAAACGTCTTAAGTTTTAATTATCTTGCGCGCAACTTCAACAATTGATTTATCGCTTTAGCTTATAATTACTTTTGTGTTTAATAAGTGATTAACTTCAAATTACGCAGTCTGATTTTTAAACTACGACGAATACTTCCACGTGCCTAGTAAGTTACTCGCGTGTGCGTTTGTAATACTATTCGTCAATTTAGAGTACTCTGTTACGGAGCAGCAAATGTCGTGTGTTGCTCTCGCATAAGAGTAGCACTTCGGTGAGAGCGATAATGTATTATTACTTTTGTTTTATCTCCGTTTGTATTGTGCCATTACTGAACTAGAAACCGTGTATTATAACTTACGCCATGTTTCAGGCGCTTATTATTTCGACGCGATCATATACGCATTAGAGCACGAGTGTTTGACACGTGACTGCGTAAAATTCTGATAAATTCGTCGACGACAAGCGCTTTCTGTTCAAATTTCAGAAACCTCCCTGCGGAATTTCACGGCGCCGGCCGTGGTGTTGGCAAATTAATTCAGATCAATTAATACGTGCTTAAGCGAACGCGCATTGGTTAATAACCGGCCGATCGAGTGCCATCTCGTGCCTCGAGTGCCATCAACCCTCGTGCCAAACGGCACCCCGTACTGCGGTTTGCAACTATGCGACGCGATTGTGAGAGCAAACGGCGGCGACTGTGTACACGCGCGCGAGTATGTGTGTATACTACGTGCACGTACGGTGTGTCGCTGGTACCACCCAATCGATACCGGTGGCATCGCCGGACCGCCATTTTATTTCGCGGCGATCCCTTTTCTCCACCACACCTCAAAGCGCAAACTCGATTGCGAGAATCTCACGAATATAACTACATGGTCTTTCCATACTTTTTCACGCTTTCTTACGAGACGTTTATCTTGTTTATCTTTTCTTATTTGTGATTGTAAATTCGATAACAACACAATTAACAAACGATAGAATCTTTTTCCCAAACAATTTCTATAAAATATAATTTTTCTAATAAATATACTATTAAGTTTTAAGTTTAATTTGTTTAATTAACGCATTTATTAATATGTCCCCTAAAGGACAATATAATTCGAGAGGACTACAGAGGGTTGATGTCTCGCTCGCGCGCTTGAGAGAAGTCAACGTAATCGAAACGAACGATCGAGCTCTGATAATCAGGTTGTTGGCACCTGTGGCAACCGACATAATTAATGTCGTAGTTAGGTGTTAAGCATTCCCCTTCCTCTTCTCCTCCTCCTTCTTTTTCCTCTGTCTCTCTCTTCCCAACTCGTTATTTCTCGACTGGACATTACTGAGCAAATTAGGCAAACCAACTACCTAATCTTTCTCTTTTTTCTCTCTCCGCACTCTCCTACCTTTTGTAACTCTTTCTTCTTAACTCACCTTTTTGTGTTCCTTTACATTATCAAATGCAGAATAAAGTGGCCGAAGATCGGACAGAGGAAGTGGGCGTTTCGCATTGGCGCAGCTTCCAGTTCCAAGAGATGCAAAATGCAAGAGGAGAGAAAGATGGAAAGAAGAAGGAACGAGGAAAAAAAGGACGAGACGACTCGATCGTCATTCTTCGTTCTCCTCCCCCTCTTCTTGTTGTAGCTTTTCTTCATACTTCACAAGTTAGTTCTCTCAGCGTTTGTTCGTTCAGATTCTGCTCTTTTTAGTTTGATCTCTCTCTCTCTCTCTCTCTCTCTCTCTCTCTCTCTCTCTCTCTCTCCATTCTCCGACATTGCTTTTTTGAGATCTTCTCGCGGGGGTAATTAACGATTTAACAGACACGCTGGATGAGCGAAGCCCTGAGTCGGTTAAGCAAGTTGTTATTAAGGTTGACGCAGTATCTCTTCAAAGACGAAGTAAGAAAAAGAGGCGAGGGAGAGAAGGAAGAAGAGTCTGTCTTTCTTTTTCCCTCGAACGGATATTCGTCATAAGAGAGCGAGAGAAAGGAGAAGAGGTAAAGTTCATTACATATCTTAAGATATAAATCCTCCTCAAGGCATTCCACACACAGGGAATCAAAAATTGTGCAGTACAAATTAGCATAATAAGATATGAAGACGAATGCATCCAGGCGAAGAAGAATGTGCGACCAAAACACGAAAACTTGCAAGCGCAAAACAAGATTGTACGTGAAACGTCGTGGATATACAAAGCGGCGTATTAATTTAATGAGTAGTGTAAGACGTAAGTTATGTGTCAAACAAAATAACAAAACCTGAACGCATGTGTGTATCAGTAAGATAAAACATTTTCAAGCACCTTTACATTCTTTATCGCGTTGCAACAATCTGTTATATTATATTTATATATCGAGAGTTTTTTTAAAAGAGAACTCAGTATGTGCTAACAAAAAAAAAAAAAAAAAAAAAATAAGATAACAGACGAGATGGCGAATCGGCGCCGAAGATGTATATACGTAACAAAGAACGAAGGAAGACTCGGCGAATGGAGCCGTTAATGTTTCGTGTATATTCAAATAAAGAGTAGCCGATGCGCGCATATTTACACGCAAGCCGGGCTCGCTCACCAGCTAATGAGTTTATAATGCCTTCATTTCGCATTAAAACGCCACCGCACCGTCTCACCGCGGCGACTCGCGTCGTGTCCTGCGGGACAGGCTCCGGAGAGTAAGCTCGCCGGAACCGCTGCTCACAGGGATAACAGGTAACGCTCGCTCTGTGCGAAATTATACAGGATTCACGTTAGAAGCGCGATATCTGAATATTTTCCCAGGAGTCAATGATAGAAAAATAACCATTCCAAGGATATAATTTTCTGTTATTAGATTTACCTGAATTTTTTTCATACCTTTAACTTTGCAATTTATGCTTTGTGTAAAATAGGATAATCTAAAAGTTAAGAATATACGAGAGTTTTAAAGACAATGTATATGAGTGTAAAATGTATCCGATGGATACATCTGAATGGATTATAACGTCTTTTAAATGTCTTTTTAGACGCAACAGAAGAGAAAGAATTTTTCATAAATTACGCTTTTATTTGAAGTTAGCTTAATGTGTTCTACTTTAATGAGCTAAGAAGACTCACGCTTTCCCTTGCTTTTTTCTTGAAGGCGAGATCGTAATCGTTGCTTTACGACCTCGCGACGAGGAAGGAGCCCTAATCAAGCAGCGGACATCCTCGATGTTTATACCGGCGCGACATTGCAGTCCGGTTTTTCCCTTTTTTTGTCGTAACGTTCTCTCAACGTGTCACTTTTCTCGACGCCTGCGCATAATACGAGCGACTCCCATCGCTCTCTTTCTTCGTGCCAAACGCACGCGTGATTTACGAGCGAAGGATAGATCGACCGACCGAACGCATGACCGGCTGCACGACTGTTCACCTAATGGCCGTCTGATATGACCATAACGACGGAAATGTATTCATCCTGCTCTCGCTTAACGACGCGATGATTGCTCGACGAACTACTAATATATACTCTCATAAGAAACGATAAATTAACAAAGCTAAAAAAATAATATATAACCTCTTAACTCACGAGAAAAATAAACATATATATATATGATACTCGACATATCGTAAATTCTAAATAAGATATTCTGCAGAGTTTGTATTTTTTTTCATACTATATATATAAAAAATTTTATAAAAACTCAGTATAAAAAAATTTCTTCATTAAGAATATATTAAATTTTTAAAACCTCTCAAAACGATCTGTTTGAAACTTCACACTTTACTACTGTATTGAACGATATGTGTTTTGCAAAATTTATGTCCGCTGATAAAAAATACTCAGCAGAAACCGAGACGAGCACTTTTGTGAGAACAACTTCGTGCCGTGTTCGACGATCAGTTCTCGCTTTTCTAGCAGACGTAGGTAACCCCTAATCACACACAACCGGCTTGAGGATTGCGTGATGATGTCTTTATATATAAATAGGGTATCCTGATTAACTATACAAAACTGCCAACATTTGCTTGAACGTACACACGCCAACCTCTACAAGCGGAATTCCTTTCTTTCTGTGTATCCGGAATTTCTTGCCTCACGATCAGTCAGATTCAGTCGTCCTAAGAATGAGAAAATGAATCCTATTGAATGATTGATTTGAAACGCGTTCTCACACGATGATGAATAATATGAAAGAAAGTGGTTTTGCTATTTCTTTTGATGAACGCTACGATTAACAATAATGCAGTTTTGTTGTAACTCTTATCCTGAATTTTTTATTAGTGAACTAACAATGTGTGGAAAATATAAATGAATTTGTAGATTTTTTATTTTATTTGTTATATACGCGCGTTTTTAAGAAATAGTTTTTAAATAAATGTAAAACGGGATAAAAACATGTGTTACGACGAGGAGGAAACATTTGGAACGGTGCGCTCGGTACAAGAGTTTTATTAGGGTATATTTACAAGGGAGGGATAATAATATCTCTCTTTTTCTCTCTTTCTCTCTCTCTCTCTCTCTCTCTCTCTCTCGCTCTCTCTCGCTCTCTCTCGTTTTTTCTCTGAGCTTGCATAGCAATAGGCGTATGCGTTTTGCACAACACAAGCATTAACAATATAACACTCTACACTACTATTAGATGCCGGATAATAATTTTTCAGGTTCTCGCGGAGAACGCGCAAAAATTGTCGCCCATTAAATTTGTATCTCGATTTATCTGAAAATCCACAGAACTTTGAAATTTCTGATTCTCGTCAAGATACCAGATTTGTTCGTTAATCGAAAAGAACGCGCTCCGCGCTTGACGTTTCTCCGCGTTCGAAATATGGAACATAAATAACGATAACAATAGCTCGTGATACGAAATATACAGCTTATATTACAGGAGATAAAGGCGTAGTTACCTTACATCGCAAGTGTATATATAATATATATATATATATATATACACACACATATATATATATATATATATTTATATCTATATCTATATACAATTAGAGACTTTAGTCCGCACAACTTAGTTACCTTTAAAGATGCATATATGCACGGTATTATGTACGGCAATTACGCCACCTTGAGAACCAAGATCGTTATATATATTTACATTGCATTCGTATTTCTTTTCATTCGTGCAACTTTGTGCTAAAGTTTGCCGTGATCTTTGCTATCGCTCGCTCACAACTTTCAAATAAGTTAAATTAAGTTACAATTTTCTTCGCAATATAATTAAACGATACATAATGCGTAAAAAAAAAAATTTTCAAGCTTTAATGAAATGTAAAAATGTGAAATCAACAATTTTGTTGCTATACTGTCAAATTACTACAAAACTGCATAAATCTCTTTGTAAAGCTTGTCTTTTTGAAAAATTACCACACAAAATTAACGTAGCGTCGTCGAGAGTTTTATTTTGAATAAAAATAAAAGAAGAAATAAGAACAAATATACTGCATGAAAATAATAAAACTTAAAGATAAGACACGACTAATAATTAAATTTTTGACTAAACGTGCATATGTAACAAATTTCTGCAAATATATAAAACTATATACACTTAAAAATACGAATACTTTAGTTTCGCTGTATATATATGTACATATTTAGGTATAACAAATTTTTGCAAATGTAAAAATGTGAACTTAGAGGTACGAAATACCTTAGAATAGCTCTGAAGTCTTCATGCGTAACAAATTTCTGCGTAACAATATTTCATCGTAGCGATTCCTCTCCGAAGTGTATCGCTAAATACATCCTTATCATGATCACGGTTGGATCTATTGGTTTCCAAAACGAGATATACACTTATAGATTCGAATCCTCTCGCGATCCCAGGATCCAGTCAAGAGACAACAGAAATCGTTGAGTCACGTGAGGACTCTGGGAGTTTTCTGTGTCCGCTCGCTACCTCGCTCGTCAAAGGTCGAGAGTTCAGCCGAGACCGGCGAGCGTAAAGCGTGTATTTCTTTCCCGCTCTCACATCGATGAGCGCGTCGAAGCAACGACGACTCGCGCTGTCTTAAAACTTTTGACACCACAATTATCGTCGTTATTTAGAGTTCCGAGTCGATTTCGGCGTTACACCCGATGCTCACTGTATGGATGTTCTGACACACGCGATGAAAGTTGATCTTCGGTGCGAAGACTTTTTATAACATATCGTCACGTTATCCGCAAGTTTATATATATAAGTTTTATTTTTTTTTTTTTATAACCGTATTGCATTTATCATCCGATAAAAAGAGGAGACCGGCTCCTTTTTCGAATTTTAGAAACACGATTATAATTTACTACCACATAATGTATTGCACGTATATTTTGCTAAAAAAGAAAATTGTCTCTTTTTCTTTTATCACAAAAAAATAATTTTTTTTATAAATATAAAACAAAATAACTTAATCTGAAACCTAACAAAAATGATTAATAGTAAACGTGGGTAATAACAAATAATCAACAGTATTTGTTTAAGCACTTTACGTCTTTAATTTTCGATCATTATCGGCTTTAACAAAGAGAAAAGTAAAAAGTACAGAACTTGTCTATAACAAATGCGATTTAAATACAAAAACGGCGCGCAGAGAAAATCAACTTTTATCACGCACTAATTTTTTGCATTTTTGTGAAGAATAAATATCGTAAAGCACGATTGTTGTCTCACTACATATTTCGTCGCACGGTTTGTGAACGTATCCATGAATAATTAAACTATCCTTCAGGGTGTGTTACTCTAGAAAAATCTTTTAGTACATAAAAAAAAAGTTTCTGAACACTTGCCTGTAAAAGGACCGCTACTATATCTGGAATTTTTTTGTTTCCTAAGGAGAGAAATTGGCTTTCGTCTCGCTGTAAACAGAAAGTCTGCCAACCTCACTCATAATTTTGTTCACACTGAAATAGTGACTGATATTTTCCTAGAAAAGTCACTTATAAGCCAACGACTACGAAGGCGAGAGGTCCTGAGCCTCCCTGCTGAGACTGTCCGTAGGCGATGGCGTGGCTCTTCTGGACGGTGACGGTGATGGCGCAGCAGGTGTTGAGGACTTGGGAACAGTCGCTGTGGTGTGATACGGCGAAAATCGGTGGTGAGCTAGCACGAGGGGTGAGGGATAGAGTGGTCGCGGTGCTGCGGGTCCCGTCGGATTCTGCTGGGTGCTGGACCCAGATGCGATCTGCTGCTGATGGTGCGCCGCTGCGAAGATGGGTCCGATCGACGACGCCGCCCACCACAGATGGCCCAGTTGCTGCTGTTGCTGTTGCTGCTGATGCTGCTGCTGCTGCTGATGGCTAGTTCCCGCCGCCGATACACCTGGATAGACCAGAGTGGGGTTGACCAGTTGAGCGTAAGGACTGCTGACGGCTACGGCCGCAGCCGCCCTCAGCAGCATTTGAGAACGAGCAGCCCAGAGGGCCTTCTCCTCCAGGCTGAGATTGCTGACTGCACCCGCCTGGAGCTGTTCCATTTCGAATGGCAGTCGATGCGGAAACCTCAGCGATTGCTGTTCCGCCAGCATCGACTCCATCGTCTCCCTGAAAGGAAAACTGCTCCATTATATATTTCGTTTTCTAAAGTCCGTGAAATGTTGTGAAATTTTTTTCGGAACAAAAGCCAAAAAGTTTTTAAGGATACTATATGACATAGCTAGAAATATATATATTTTTTTGCGTTTTTCACACAAAAAATCTTTTACCCTTGTACTTGCAATATTTAACAAAGTACAAGAGACTTTGTATAGCTCTACGTGTGATTTGTGGTTTTTTTTCTATAAAGATGTTATATAAAGTACACTACTCTTGTTATTTTGCTGTTGCATAGTTAACATAAGTTATCAAGTAACTCACCTTTCGAAGTCGGTAAGACGAGAAGAATCCCGAAAGCCCTTAGCAAAGGGATTACTGTCGATCTTGAGCTTCGTGATCTGTAACAGACGGAAAAGCGATGGTTAGTCGCTGCGACGGACGAGAGAGAGATCGGCAGAATCGGAGATTCGGTCGCCCTCGGACTCGCATTAACATCGAGGCGATCTCTCGCAAATTCCCCGATCTTATTACCCGCTCGCGTAGCGTGAGCTCTCTCCCGACTTCGCTTCGGGAAAATTACGTCACCAGCGCGACGAGCAACGGCGCGTGGCGGAAAACGGTCGGCTGTTTCGAAACGGTTCGTTCCATCGATCGGGAGTCAACGGCTCGTAAAATTAGAAGAAGGCGGCGAAGCGACGTACCTACCATCACAAGGGCGGGAGATAGACAATCGGGAGGGGATTGAAGGGAAGAGATACGGTAAGCGTCGTTGATACACGGGTATCCTTCGGGGGCGCCATGAGAAAAAAAAAATCCTAAATCATGGAACGCGCATTTTCTATTCTGTTTGTTTTTTTTTCCGAAAATAGAAAAGTTGTATCGATGTCTCATTTGTCGTTTTGAACCAAATCATTTTGTTTTCAATCAAACAAAATAAGCAGCTTTATTTGAATACAGAAGTTAATCCTTCAGAAAAAAAAGGAAAGAGAAACGGTTAAAAGGACTAGTTCACAAAAGCACAAAAATGATTTACAATTTGAAAAAGATGTAGATGTGAAAAAAATATGAAATATGAAAGAAACGTGACAAATATTCGAGCTACTTATGTTTCTATTTCCGCGGCACACAAAAGAGAAACTACTGTATGCATATTGTGCGCAAATCTTTTGAGAAATTACAGATTTGTATTTGCAACGCTTTCCACTGTTGCCTTTGATACGCATTACAGATTGTTGGTCGCTCACAATCCAATAATTTCCTTTTCGTTTTGCAATTCATCATTTTTTCATAACTTGGATCATTCATCGCCAAAGTTAACTTTTAACTCTCGCTGCAAAGAATGCTTGTTCAGACTCGGCCCACAAAGAATCATCGACCGACACGGTGGTCCGCACGAGGAAATCCGAGAAAGTTTGTCTACGTGTTGGACTACACATCGTCACGTTTGTAGTAGCCTCTTAAGTGGTCAGACTGTTTTTTCTCTCACTCTCACTCCTTCCCGTTCCCTATCTTTTTCTTATGCGAGCTACCCTTAAGGAAATGTACCCTAAGTCGGATCTGTGCCCTAAGTTGGATGTTTCGCATTACCCTACAAGCCCACCCACGACGTGATAGATATACAGGTGGCCCCGTTTTTCGATATCGTTCCCATCGCCTTAAACCTAGCTCTTGTCCTCTTTGACTTTTGCCCTACATTTTCCGCAAACTCGTCTGAGAATAAATTTCTGACTCAGAGTTTACCTGACCGCTCAGACCGTTGCTAAGTTTTGAAAACACGTGTTGAATTGACAAAATTTTTCGCGTTTGAACGTAACATAGACAAACATATTGACAAAATTTTTCTCACGACCATGAAAGAACATGTTTAGCTGACAGTACGTCTCGAACAAAGCTCCAACGGTCCGAATACAAACCCGTGAAATTTCTCATATTTTATCTATTCAACTTACGTTTTCCGACGTATAAATCTCATTAATTTTTCAAATATTATTTGTGACGCTCTTATTATTTAATAATCTAACCTAACCTACCTTTTAATGTCAAATGTAAATTTTTCCGAGTATTGTAAAAGAATACACGCGAGCATAAAGATACAGCACAATTCTTTAACATGTTTGACGTTGACAACGTATATGCAGAGGTAGATTTTAATCTGTGCCAGCCCCAGCATGTCATTTGAGCAACTGAGCATCGCAGATGTTATTGTTAGAAAATTTGCATAACCGTAATTGTTCCATGAGCTTTCCATTAAGGTTATTAATTATTAAAATTAAAATCAATACACACACACACGCGCGAATACTCCAGAATAGCGCAACGCAAAACCGGAGTGGCAGCGAACGTGTTAATAAGGTGTTAGTTGGTTGAAACAGAATTTAGGTTCGGTAATTGGGTGATTAGGCGCGTTAATTAGCGTCTTCTCGCTGGCACCCGAATAAAGGAAAACATCGAGCGGTACCACATAAAAATGTCAAACAAACGCAGTGATATCCCACGACACGGACCTATCCAATTTCCGTCCGGCGAGCGTTCCAGAAAACATAAATCAGCTGTCTTCCGGGTCGAGTGTCACATACGAGATGTGCGGTTCGCTCGAACGACACGCTCCTGCTGCTTCGATTTGGGGTCTTTTGGTTACTCAAAACGAGACGCAACACGCGCGTTATTTATTTGGAAAAGAGAACCGCTTGTCGCAACGCTCAGTTGTCCGTAGGTGGTCCAATTAATTCGCACTCAAAGTCAGAAACAAACAAGGCGTTCGGTTTCCACGATAAAAATCCAATTTAATAAAATTAACAGACACTTCGATATCACACTCTGGTTTTACAATTAATTTTTGAACTATAATTAATAAAAAACATTTTTAATTTATAGAAATACAAAATTTTTAAGATTATATTTAATCTTTTTAACAATATTCAAGACTAATATTTCAAATATAATTTCAAATATAATTTAATTACTAGAAAGAAAGAAAGAAAGAAAGAGAGAGAGAGAGAGAAAGACAATAATGATGGATCTTGTAGCAACATCTGTAATCTATAATCAATGCGCATTTACGAGGCAACAAGTCACATCCGTTTCTGTCACACGTTTATTCCCCGTTTATCCAGTAGTCGTATAATGATTTCACGAATCGCACAAAACTGGTGTTTCTCGATAAGCCCACAGACACACGTCAGCATTTCCTTCCGCGTGTCCGTCGCTTAGCTACATCAACGACAGCAGAACTGGAAGTCGTCGCGCGACTTCCAGTTTATCTGCTTGTCGAAAGCTCGCCGCCGTTTTCGCGTCCTCGGCGACGGAGGCCGGGAGCAAAAAGAAATAGAGAATGAGAGAGAGAAAGAGAGAGAGAGAGAGAAAGAGAGAATGAAAAAAACAAAGAAGGAAGGCGAGGGAGCGTGAGTGGTGTTGGTGTGTGTCGAGTGGGTGGTCCAATTACCCTACAGTTTCGCGCTCACGAGCAGCACGTGCAGGCCGCTAGTAATAAGACTCTTTCCTTCAAAGCTGAGGCTAAGCCGGTGCTAAGCTCGGGGCCGCCTCGGTTTTAGTTACGATTCCGCTGACATCATTAGCCAAACATCTGGCCCGCCACCACCACCACCCGCCGTCAGCATCGTCGCCCTCTCGACAACATTGCCACCTCCGTCGTCCGTCTCCTTTTCGCTTCATTCGCTTCTCGTCATCGGTCGTCTGCCGGTCTGCCTGACGATACGCATCGTCGTCGTGGTCGTCGTAGTCGTCGTCGTCACTTTACGAGCGAATCGCCGGCGATATTCCGACGCCGCCGTTCTTTGAGTTTCGCGAGGTCAGAATGACTTCTGGTCTTTGATATCGACGCTTTACCGACTAACATTCCCTGTCAAGCTCTTTACTTTACGGGAGGTTCGCATTGGCGTGCGGCGTTATATTTCATAGAAATTTCAATATTTCTTTCTTTAGAATTCACGCGATGAAAATATTTTTTTTGATCAATAATTCTATTATACTTCTATGTTTTGAATAATGTGATTTGTGATTTTTCAATTCTTTCTTCCCTTCCCCCTTCACAGATATGATATAAAATAATTATATTTACATTATTAATTTAAAGAAACAAATGTTTCCGAAACTTGATTAGATAAAATTTTGCATTACAGAAAGGTTTTTATCACACATTGTCGAATAAAAACTGCTCAGCGATAGCGTTGATGCCTCGGCGCCACTGAAGCGGGCTTTCCGACAAACGCGGTCGGTCCGTCGAAGTTATACGATTTCGCTGACACGGCTCGGCCAAACGTTTGGACCACTTCCCAGACCGATTTACGATGTCGGTCGTGGTAGCGCGCAGCGAGAGGTATACCGCGTGATAAATTCGCCCCGCATGCTCGCCGTTCTGCTCGGCTCGGTAGCTATCGAGTCCGCCGCGTGCGAATAAATCCTCGCGGGAGATGCATCCCGTGAGATGACGCTCCGCCACGCATGAGAACGCATGCCATGACGTGTGCAAAGCGCGAACGAGACATCCGGTGATTTTTCGCGTTCGCGAGTTATTGAAGAGCACGAGATTAACTAGACGAAGGTATCATCGAAAGAGCAACCAAAATGTGTAATAAATAATAAAAAATCTTTTGAGCGTGAAGAAAGGGAGCAATTTTTTTTTTTATATCAAATAAGAAATAATACAACGAAGTGAGCCGATTTGTAAAACAAAACATATCGCAAGTACGTGTCAGTAAGAAGAGTTTTTAATTTCTGAAATTTGAATATGTATCAGGTAAAGTCGAGAATAGAAGTTTTGTGAATTCGTCTCGTTATTCGCAACAATGTGTCGACCGTTTGTTGCTATCACGCACGAATCCTTTTGTATCCTTTGTAGATCTTTTTTGACGGTATATCGTGTTTTGCCAGAGAAAGACTCGATTTCGTCTTTAAATGGTCACCGACGTATGTACCTGCTCGCAATTTTCGAAAATCTTCTTCGTCATACAAGAAGATTTCGGTCGTTATTAGTCAGTTAATCGTCGTGAACAAAAACGCCGCATCTATAGGGTGTCTCGCCGTTGTAAAAGTAATATTTCGACTTTTAAAATAATTGTTTTATGTGATTAAAAATTTTGTCTTTTCGTTTATTAATAATCTCCAAATTGTCAAAGATAATTTAATATATAAAAACATTTTGTGTTTTGTTCTCTTTTGCAAATTCTAGTTTTACATGGAATATGATGAAACACTCATATAAATATATACACCCAGTGCATATAAATGCCGCGTAACTTCGAGTTCCACAGCGTGTCACGCGACAAAAATTTCAATGCGAAATTTGCGCATTTTCAAGACCGGCGGAAAGCAATTTTCTGTCAGCAGTACACGAAGAACCCTACATCAGGACTCGTCACCGATCGACGGTCTGAGGACA